CCATATATTGCTGAATACACGGGGCTCACTTTGTTTTTTTCTTTGTCACAAATCCGATTGGTAATTGGTATTAGCAACTCTAATATACTGCAAGAATTTTAAAACAATATTTCTTTGTGTGACCCTACACAATCATGAAGCTTCAAACTTACACTTATTTTTTTCATCATCATTAAACAACCCCAAAAGAAAACCCCAACTGTTTCTTCATTACTCAGTTTGCTTTAAAGAAGAACCACTATCATTTCAGACACAGACCTGTAACAGTGTGCTTCAGCAGACTTCAGAGCCTCTAACAAATTGTGCCCTGTTATTTGAGGAAGGCTGGCAGTGCACTTTAATTTGAAGGAGAGATATTTCCTATTATCCAACAATCCTTTTTACAGAAACAGAGTTCCTCTGGCAGAAGCCAGACTCCTATGAAACCTGAAAGCCATCTGAATGCATGAGTTGCGTATAAAATTAATATTTACTTCTGTTCTACAGTAATCATAGAGATACTGAAGCAGAAAAATCATTCAATTTTTTCCTTCACACCTGTGGCCCAAATCCTTCCTAGCTAATGAGGATCACTGGGAAAATCCTTTGTCATGAGAATTTATTTCCTGCTCAGAGATTGCCAGTTCTGCTGCGAAAGCTATGAAGGCAGCATTTGATTTAAAGATATTTCTAGCATTGACAATTTTGCCAAGCCATCCTCTGTTCCTGAGAAAATGAAGAAAAATCAACTCAACATCTACCAGTCTCCCCTCCTCATCAGTTTGAGAAAAGGCACCAGTTTGACACACACACTCCAGTCACAGCTCAGTTGAAGAACACCTGTTATCAATGGTTAAGACTGAGCATCTACTAATAATACAGCAGTTAGTATCATCATTAACAGATTTAAGTCATACATATGCAAAGCATTGGGGGTTCCTGACAGATGCTTTTCACAGTGTCTTTATGCCAAGAACTTCTTAACACCCTGGATGGAAAAGTGACTTCATTTGTTATTTGCATACAATTATTTCTGCTACTTCACAGATGCAATGGTAATCCTAATTAAGAGCTGTACAAGTATATATCATGTATATGAGCTGTACATGTATAAATCATATGCTATTGTTATTTACAAAGTAATGTGGCTACTAAGTGAATTAGTATCTGATTCAGCACAGTGTAAAACCTTCTAAACACATCCAGTTACAGACTGACCCAAATTAGATGCTGGTTCTTCACTGGTTCAAAATGGTCCTTCACTTTACTGGGACTGCTAACATGTTTAAAATATGAAAGGAATAAGAAATTCTAAGCTACAGATCAGCTTGAAAACTCATTTTCCTTTCTCCTAGAGCTGAACATCCTCTTTGTTGGCTAGCTTTTATTACCAGAACGCTTTCCCTGAATGAACCTTTTAACCACCTACTTTTTATGGCCCATCTCAGCTGCTGCGTGAATTGGCAACTGCCAGTTATCCTCATTGCAGTAGAGATTTGGATCTGCCCCTTCTGACAATAACAGCTCCACACACTTGGCATGGCCCTCCTGTGCAGCAATCAGGAGTGGAGTGGCTCTGTCTTTGGCCTGGCAGTTGACGTCTGCACCTGACAAAAAGACTTCAGGTTACTTGGTGTAAAACAAACAATGAATTAACATTAACAAGTAACTGGTTTTCAGGGAGTGACTTTACAACACAAGTCTTTTCCACAGCAATTAGGAAACGTTCACTAGCTTGCTGCTAACTTTTGAAGCAGTCAGTACATTAACTTCCCCAAATGATAACAAAAGTGCTTGAGGAAAGGCAATGGCCAAGACAATTGTTTGATTGCAATTAATTAAGTTGTTCTCCCCTACTATTGGTAGCTCTGTTAGCATGCTTCCTCTGATTAGGTCAAGGCACCCTCTGCTTTAATAGATAGGCAGTTAATTCTGGTTGTAAGGATACAGGCACTTAGATACGTGACACTTGCAGACTGTGTGGATGAAACCACTGCTGTCACTTTATCACTAGAGGGAGGACTCTTCACTTAGCCTAAACAATATCCCACCAAAATAGTACTAACATAGTGCTAGTGAAGGTCTTCTGAAGACTAATGATCCTTAATCATTCCACAGTTGTACTATTTCCTATTTAAATGTGAATTTATGAAGTGCAAAAGTAGAATTAAAATTGTATCTGATGACAGGCATCTGATGTAAGCTTAAGAAGAACAAAGCCCAACAAAAGACTGCTATTACCATGGGATATAAGTGTTCTTAAGCTCTCCAGCCTTCCATACTGAGCAGCAACAAACAATGGTGTAATTCCAAAGTCATCCTTACACTCGATGTTTGCTCTTTTCTCCAGGAGTATTTTCATTATCTCAATATGTTGCTGAAAGAAATATTTTTATTAGTAACAAAAAAAAAAAAACCAGATGGGGAAAATGACATCATCTGTGTTCCCCCCACACTCTAACTATAAATAAGAAAAATGCAATCTACTTGCTATTCTAAAGATATGACAGAAAAAGTTTTGGAAAAAAATTGAGTTTATTTTTTTTCACATTTGCTGATTTGCAAATGGAAATTGATTTACTGGAAACATTAAAGTAACATATTTCTATCCTGGAAACAACTCTTGTATCTCACTGATTAGGAGATACTCAACAGGACTTTGTCAGGAAATATTACAACACATTCACTTCCTATATACAGTAAGTGAGCCAGTAAGTGCATGCAGTATTAATAATACTTCAATTATTGCTTCCCAACATCAACATGTCGTGAAGTTTTAGATACACTCTTGAGCCCACTGCAAGCCCTTTAGCATTTATGACTGCTAAGGTAGGTTAGGAAAACATCACCAGATCAAAAGACAAGATCTGTGAATTACTGCCCAGGACACACTAGTTACATGCCAGTGGTATGATATGCTTACAGGTTACCTGAAATGCAGCTTGGTGCAAAGAATTCCACCCAGACCAGGAATGAGATCCTTCAACGCTTGCTCCATTTTGGATCAGAAACCTTACAACATCTGCATGCCCATTTTCAACAGCTTCAAATCAAACAGTAAAACAAAAAAATCCAACAACCTTTTATTAAAGAACTCACTGAAAAACTCAGGTGGTCTCATCACTAAGTTCCTGACACAACTTTCCTAATTATTTTATACCTGTTTATATTTGCTTACTTCACTTTTAAAATGCAAGAACAGAGGTGGGAAATGGAAATTTTGTCACAAAATTTCTAGTTGGACACGTTAGAAACCCAGCGCTGTTGTGCTGGGACTGACAACAAATGCATGTTTCTCTCCTGTGAAGCAGAGGCAACTCTGCAGTAGGCACCTAACTACGTGACAGCTTCCATAGCTGCCTCAACTTCAGAAGCCCACTGCCTATGTTCCAACAGACTGCCAAAAACCTAAGCTTTCTTTAAAAAAGATTACAACTTTTAACACCACCGATATGAAACTCATTCACAAGGAGTATTTTTAATTTATATAAATTAACTAATGAATCCTACTATTTAGTTTTTCAGTATTGTTTTAAGGCAGAACTTTCTTTAAATCGGTGGTTTCTGGATCTACTCCACCTCTGAGCCTCAAGCCTATTTAGGCTACAAAAGCATGAAATATGACAAGCAGAGAATTAACTCTGGAGTATAGCACAGCTTCTCCCACAATAGCAGTCACTGTGAGACTTCAGAAAAGCATCACCTAGGAAGAGGGCGGTGTTTGATTCGGTGGTAACTTGGTCAGGATCAACTCCAGCTTCCAGAAGAACCCCAACACACTCCAAGGACCCACAGCGTGCAGAAAGGTGCAGTGCACTCATCCCTTCAAACGTCTTTGAATGTATGTAGTTATCAGATGGAGCTACAGATGAGAACAATGAAAAAGAAGCATTTAGCAGTAAGTTAAAAACAAGGTTCTTAACTTAAAATATGTGAGGTATTGAAACGCAAGGCCTGCAGGGTATCAGTTATTGCTGGCCATACACAGGTATTTGCTTTGGGCTGAGAAGATAAAGTAAAACCAGCTGTCATTCACAGATTACAACACTGCCATTTTTTTCTTTACCACGTCTTGTCAATACCTACGAAACAAATTCCCAAAGGAACATGATAAATCTATTTAATTTATATTTTACATCACTGGGCCAGTTGAGCTGCAAGTTGAATGACTTCACACCATTTCTCCTCACCTGCATTAATTAACAGCCTCAGACATTTGCTGGAATTGTGAGCTGCTGCCTCGTGGATTGGCATCCAGCCCCTGTTGTCGGGGACATCAAGGCTGTATCCCTGCCCGATCAGCTTCTGCAGCACTTTAGCATTCCCTTCTCTTGCTGCAAGCCCCACGGCAGAACATCGGTCGGAATACGCCTCTGTGAAATCCATCCTTTCCTAATAAACCCTGCAGTGGGAAGGTGGGAGGGAAGAAATAAGGGAGAAAAAAAAAAGCTCGTTAGTACAAAACACGCCCAAATTACTACAGTACAGGGCCAGAAGGATCAACTATGAATCAGAGCCTCCTTGTGACCGACAGCCTGGCCGTGTCGTGGTGCCAGGAAGGCCAGTGGTGTGCGTGACACAGAGGAGGGCAGCAGGGCGAGGGAGGTGATCCTTCCCCTCTGCTCTGCCCTGGTGAGGCCGCACCTGGAGCACCGTGCCCAGTTCTGGCACGAACGGAGAAAGACGGGGAGATCTGGAGAGAGCCCAGAGGAGGGATAGAGCGATGTGAGGGGCCTGGAGCAGCTCCTGTGCGAGGACAGGCTGACACACGGGGCTGATTAGAACTGAAGGCTGAGAGGGGATCTTACTGCACTCATCGGACGTGCGGGAGTCAGGCGGGTGGGGGCGGATCTTTGCAGTGGAGGACGGGACAAGGGGCAACGGGCACAGCCTGGGGCACAGCACGGATATTCTCACGGCACGGCACCCGCCGCCGTCACGGTGCGCAGCGGTGCCGCCCCGCAGCCGGGCGGTGCGGGAGGAGGAGGCACGGAGGAGCCGCCCCGCCCCGCCCGCAGTGCGCATGCCCGCCCCGTCCGTAATCGGGGCAGCGCGGCGGGTCGCGGCCATGTGGGTGTTCGGCTACGGCTCCCTCATCTGGAAGGTTGACTTCCCCTACCAGGAGAAGATGGTGGGGCGCATCCGCGGTTACAGCCGGCGGTTCTGGCAGGGCAGCACCGACCACCGCGGCGTGCCGGGCAAGGTGAGGGGTCGGCCGGGTCGTGTCAGCTCCGCAGCCGCGCTCGGAACGGCCGGATGTAGCCGGGGTTCCCGCGGCGGCTCCTCGCCCCGCCGTCGATCGGCGGCCCGCGGCCGGGCTGCTGGCGGAGCTGTCGTTGGGCCGCCTGCCTTCCGCGTCGGGGCGGCTCTGCCCGCGAAGCCGCGTCCCGCCGGCGGAGCTGTCACTTGTCTGTCGGTAGCTTCGCAGGGCACCTGATGCTCCACCCTGCCGCTGCGAGGCACACAGGGCGAACGCCTCCGGTGTAGTTCGCTGCGGCAAGATGCGCTCTTTAATGCTCGGAGTTTTAATTTTCTCCTTCGTTCTGTTACTGTTTGGTGTGGTTAAGGCGCTGGAATGAGAATAACATCGCCGCGCTGCGGCCCTCCCCGTGCTAAAGAGCTCAACAGACACTAAAGGGACAATAGGTGACAGAAGCGCCCAGCAGGTTGGATGAATGCTTTGATGTGGCAGGACTGCGTTATTTACAGCTGCAGATGCTGCTCACGGTTGAGTCATCAGAAATGCGAACGCATCATAGATGTGTAGGATCCGACTCTCAGTAGGTGCTAACAGCTCACCGGCGCTCAGTGCTGCTTTCAGTCCTGTGCAGCAGCTTTTCCCCGGGCTGCCAAAGCTGCCCTCAAACCTGCACCCTGCTGACGCTGCTCTGAAGCCAGACTGGAGTTCTGGAGTTAGCAAGGGCACCCCTGGCAAAGGCAGAAGGATTCTTCTTAGAAAGAAAGCGCTGTGTGAAGCTCAGAAGGAATCTCATGTAGTCCTGACCAGCACTGATTCCCACCTCTGGCAGAAGGTGATTTTTGCAGTGCTTTTAGGTGCAAGCACGCTGAGTGTTTCCCTGCTGCTCTCTGAGCTGGGAAGACGTGCTGTGATGCTGGCTGTACAGCTGAGTGCCTTCTTAGCAGGAGCCTCCAGCCATCCTTTTCCAAGCTCTGCTTGTGTGTGTTGCAAAAATTCTGTTCTTCTCTTTTGGACGGACCAAAAAAAACCAAACCCATTCCAGAGTTGTTCAGGTGAGGCCTAAGAGTGTCATCTGCAAGCCTTCGGTACTTAGGATGCTGGGCTTTAAAACAAGTTTTTAAAAATCAATAGAGAAAGTCCCTTTCTTTGGACTTCAGAAAGTTATAAATCCCTCACAGGCCAGTGTTTCCCTCTTTCTGTAGTGCATTACCTTCTGTTGGGCTGACTGAAATTCAGGGGAATAGCCAGACTGCATTTGTGTGGATTCTGGAAGTCTTGCAGAATGGCTGTGCCAACTCACTACCAGCCAGTGCATCCTTTGTTCCAGTTAGCTCCACTGTTTGCATTTGTGCCCTAGCCCAGGTCATGCCCAGAACCATCATCTGCAGCCATAAACAGCCTTAAAACAAACAAAAGCCCTACAGGGGCTCATGCACTGCTCTGTTTCCATTTAGGAATAGTCTATTATTATTTATGCTTATTGTTTATGCGTTTTATTTTTGTTGATGGAAATGCTTAGCATTAGCAAAACACACTTCCTCAGCACCAACAAGTTAATGCCTTCTGGAATTACTCAGTCCATGAGTTGATGCTGCTAATTCCAAGGCAAAAGGGTTCACTCCCTCACTGTGTGCTGAGGAAATGCACCACAATGTCCAAGGCCTGATGACCTCTGCTATGAACCATTAAAACCCCTAACATCAGGAGCAATGTCTCATGTGGGTGAGCTATTGGAGAAATTGCTCCTTCAGTACTAACGCAATTTAAAGAAGAGCAGTGAAATACTAGCCAGCAAGTTAAAAATGCTCTCCTGAAATCACAAGTTGCTACAACGTTCCATGGTCAGCACAGCAACAACATACAGAGCACTCTGACATACAATGGCTGCAAGCTTTTAGGGCAGAACTCAGTTGGCCCTGTACACATACACTGAACTGCTCAGCTGATAACTGACTTCTTACAGCATAAAGTGATGTTTTCATCATCTTGTTGTTGGCTCAGAAAGACCCGTTATAGACTGTTATAGTAAGCACAAGTGCTTGCATAAGTGGCAAATTCAAATGTCCCAGTCCAAACTTCAGAAAAAATGGCAACAAAAATGCAGTCCTACACAATTCACACTCAACTTCTCAGATTAAAACGTAGGGGATCAATAAATACCTATTTAATAGAATGTAACCAAAGCATATCTTGGTGCTTTCCTAAAAGTACATTCCCGACTTTCCTAAACCTCTTCTAGTAAGGCTGGCTTTCTAACTTAGCATTACTGGGTTTGGTCACCCATTGACTTCCCAGTTTCCAAATCCTTCTTGAAGCATGAATCCTCATAGTCACTTTCTCTATTCAACTGCAAAGGAGGAAATACATTAAAAACATCAACATTTAAAACTTCTTCCAGTAACTAAGCACGTAGCTTTGGCTACAATGATAATCCAACTCCTCCTGCAAAATAGCCAGTTTTCCATACTCACAAACTGTATTTTTAACCTCCAGTGTTTGAGAGAATCTCTTCCAACAATACCAGACTAACCTGCCATTCCTCAGGCTACCTTAAAAATGCTGAATTCTTCTTAGTACTGCAGTTCTCTAAGGTAGGTTCCAAGGCTCGCTTACTAAGAGCTCCTCAACAAAATTCAGGGCATAATCTCACCCGAATGCATTAATTTGAACAGTTTTAACTTTTGGCAGCTCTCTGAAGAGCCCCAGCCGTGCACACTGTGTCTACATCTGCATCTAGGCCTGCTCTGTACAAGAACAAAGAGCTGTGTGTCAGTGCAGCGCCGAGTTAGGACTGCAAGTTTGGTTCCTGTCTTCTTCATTCTTCTGCAAGCCACAGGAACAGCACTGAAGTGCAAACACATTCAAGGGCTGAAGCATGAAACCACTGTTACTATAGCATGGTTTGACCAAACAGCTTGCAGCAGCCAGAAGGGCAGTTGGATGGCTTCTCCTTACAGGTCCCTTCCCCCAGCTCCTGCCCACCTGCTGTGTCTGCCCAGTGCCCAGACAGTCAGGCAGTCTCAGTGTTGGAGACTCTGTACCTAACCTTTGGATGTGCTTAGGAAAAAAAAACCCTAAGGCAATGTGATGACATGATTGATGGAGCTCCAACTGCCTGCTGCCCGCTGTTAACCCCAAGGGACTCCTATGTGTTCTCTCTGTTGTGGGGTTACCAAGTTTATAAAAAATGAGTGATTCAGCTTAAGGTGAATTCATTTTAAGATAAGGGCTTTTAGCTTGTTAAAAATGGAGGAAAAAGGTAATCAAACTAAAACCTTTTCTAAGTTAAGGTTTCCTTTTTATCCCAAATTATTTTCATACTCACATGGCAAAATGAATCGATTCTTGTATCAGTAAACATTCGGTATCTTCAGGATCTGAGCACTTCCATGTACCATTCAAAAGAATCTCATGTAGCAGTGGAAGACCTCACTTCTGTTTGCCCTATGAATTTCATAGGACACATCGGCTAGCCCTGAGGAACTGCAAGCTGTGCAAAACTGACAGAAGTCCCTCCAAGACACCTGACTTAGGAGATCATTCGTAGTACAGCAGAAATCGTTTTCATTTATATTATATAACTCCTCATTTACAGATGTGTTATTTTCTTTACTTAGCTTGCAGAGCTAATACTTGTGGTTCCACAATGCTGTTTGGTTTAGGTAGTTCCCCACAAACCAGTCAATGGAACAACCAACCAGCTTGTTAACCCTAAAATATTTAGCAAAATATTTGATCATCACCAGTTTCCATCTGTGAGAGACAGCCTAGCATGACTTCACTGTTACTGCCCAGATGAGATCTGTTCAGATGTACTCTACAGACAGTCAGTCAGTGGTGTATTTAGCCTAACTCAAGGTGAACCCTTCAGCACTATTATTAGTGCAGCGTGTTAACCAGCTTCTCTTGAGGTTAAAGCTGAATGACAGCAAAACAGCCCCAGGTGATTTATTGATTGAGACTATTCTCAAATGGCCTAGGTGAACAGGTAGCTGTGCCAACTTTTCCCCCAAAATAAACAGCCGTTAAGATGATGAAACAGCTTACACTGAATAAATAGTATCCGCAGTTGATGGAAGATGGTTCTGCAAAAACTAAATTTTCTATTTTCCTTCTTAGGAAAAGAATTTCTGTTTTTCCGAGGACTCGGTGTAGGACAATGCCCTGCATTGTTACCGTGTGAAAGAGACAGAGATGAGTACAGGCTGAGCAAAGGGAACTAAGCACGGACACGTCAATGAAGCCATGATAGAGGAGTTGTAAAAAGACTGAAATGATAGAGTACCCAAGGGCAAAAGGTAGCTTTGACTCAGTGAAAGGCCTGCATCCACACACACCGAGTTCTGGTCGTCTGCCTAACGCCCAAGGAAACAAACTTCTATCCTAGACTACAGTTGAATGAAGCAGTATCTCTGCTTTCCCTTATGTAACCAGACACTAATCTGATGCTAAAAACAGCAGTTTTACACTGCTGATGCAGTTCCTCATAGGGTTTTATGCTTTAAGTTGTTATTTTAAACTTTATTGAGGAGTTGGTCTCTGTGATCCTTGTGGGTCCCTTCCAACTTGGGATATTCTGCGATTCCACAGGTTACACAGAAAAACTCAGCTAGCTGTAACTTTCCCAAAACATCTAATTTGCAGGGTGCTTTTAAACTCAGGAGCTGCCGCAGTGTGTAGTTAACATTTTCTAAGATTGCTAGTGCAATCCAAGGCAGCAGTGGTAGCATCTCGCTTTGTTCAGCCACGCTAGATGTCCACATGACATCATTTGCTGTGCCTGTGTCTAAACTCCCTGTAGAGAAGGAGAAGGTTCACCTCATTGCTGCCCTAGAGAAAACACGGCGTGCTCCTGGTGAGGAGCAGCACGACTGAGGATGGGATACTCTGGATAATTTTGCACTAACGAATTATTGTCACCAGTCATTTACAGTAAAAGCTGCTGACTGAACTAACAAGGATTTTCATTTAATTTTAGCCTGGAAGAGTTGTGACTCTGGTTGAAGACCCTGAGGTACAGTACTCCTGTTCTGTCTCTATAGTATAGAGACTGTCCTATTGTGTTCCCAGCCTGTGTAGTAAGTCTCTATTAATTTTTGCTTCTCTACAAGCCAATAATTGAGTTATCTTTACTGAAATGAAGTGTTGTCTCAAAATGACTTGAGAGTTACACTCTTCATTACTTCAAATAAATCCATCAGTCTAAACTAAGCAACAGAAAGCAGTTTGGGTCTATTATTCCTAAAGGTATATTTTAAAGTATTTTCCTAAGTAATCACTTCAGCTCTCCTGCTATACAGGGCAGATTTGTTTACTTTCAGTGTGTGTATGGTGCTGAAGATGCACTGATATCAGACCTCAGATGGCGTGTGAGAGCCATCATCTCAGCCTCCCAGGATAAAAACTGAAACAAATTAAGATTACATCACAGCGATTAAAAAGATTCACTTGCTTTAATTTTTGCTACATGGATAAAATGTTTAAGGAATGAAATGCCACAATTGTGTGTTTAGTTTTTACCTAATACTGTAAAATCAGCTCAGAGATGGAGTTAAGTTTAGCAGTAATTGTAAACTTGGACTGTTTTTGCAGTTAGCAAAACCAGCAAAATGCAGTGCACTGTCCCTCATTGTGACTTTCTGTACCTTTCTAGTAAGGGTTTTTTTCACATTACAGCACTGCTGGGTACCATTATGTTACAGACTCCTATATAAACAAAGAATGGTTATGTTTGTTGTCACTCCATTTCTATTGTTAAGCAAACTTACTCGTTGTCATAGAAACTTTTTTCCCCTTAGCAAACCAGTTTTGTTTGGATGGGTTTTTTTCCCCTTTTCTCCACAATCTAGCACAGCTCACACAAAACATCAAGTGATAGGAATGGGCTGTACTTCACTCTTAGCAACTCATTCTTACCGTGTCACACGGTCACCTCACTCTGAGTCTCCCTTCACAGACCACAGCCATCATTCCACTGCACACACACCCAAATGTTGGTGGCAGTGGTGCTTTCATTGGCAGTGCCAGCCCCCAGCTCTGTGGCCTGCAGCAGTTGCACTGTGCTGTCTGGAAACATCTAGCTCACAGTTATTTTAATTTGCTCCATCCAAATCTCTGTGCCAGTTAAAAGGAAACCGTGATGAAAAGGAACACTGTGCTCCTTGTCAGATTTCTGGCTTTTCATTTGCCATCATCTGAAATAGGATTTACCTCCACTGAAAGTAAAACAAATGAAGTAGTGATGCTTGTATGTATACACGAATGTAATGGATAACAAACCACAATCGTTTTCCTGTGCTGCATCAAACAGACAAAACCAAAACAGAAACTGCAAACTCAGATCTCACTCATTTGCCCATCTAAAACTTTCCAGGAATATAACTCACCACAGTTAATATGTTCTCAGAGATTTTACCCACAATGAAGAAGAAATATAGAGACTTACAGAGGTGGTGATGAAATTAATCCCAGCAGTGTTTGCTGAGGAGCTAGCGATGCTCTATCTAATTGTGCAAACTCAAGGTTCAGCTCAGCTTTTTCTTCTTGGGCTCAGTGTCAGCGTGGCAGCATTAGTGCTCTCATGCTGCCAGATGTGTGACAGAAGGGCAGCCTACCCTTAAAAGTGAAACCAGAAACACAGACAGGACTTGATCAGAATTACTTAGAATTTGGCACTATTTACAATTTTAACTTTCGCTGCACTATTTTTGTGAGGTCGGGAAGATACTTGATACCCATTCTGTCAGCTCTCCAATAGACAGCGTTCAGAAGCTCATGAAGACTATCTATTATTTCAGATTTAGTTGCAACAAGAAAAGCCTCAGCATCAGGAAGAAGGTAGAGGACTGATGTGCGTAATTACTATTTTGACCGAAGATTTCCTAAATAGAACAGCCCTCTTGATTCAGGACACCAAGAACAGTGTGAGAAATAGCTATAAAAAGACTGAAAATGGAAGAAAACATTTCAAGCGTTTTGTCAAAATAAAGCAGAAATGCATCCATTTCCCAGTGCGCTTTTAAACCCTGCTTGGATTTTCTTTCCCTATGTCCTCCCACAGGGCTGTGTGTGGGGCGTTGCTTACAGACTGCCAGCTGGACAAGAATGCGAAGTCAAGGCGTACCTGGATTTCAGAGAGAAGGGAGGCTACAGGACTACAACCGTTGTTTTCTACCCAAAGGACTCGTCAGTCAAACCCTTTGATGTACTGCTGTACATCGGCACTCGCGACAACCCCAACTACCTCGGCGCTGCGCCTCTGCAGGAGATTGCTGAGCAGATCGTCGACGCCGTCGGTCCCAGCGGAAGAAACACGGAATACCTGTTTGAACTCGCTAATTCCATGAGAAATCTTGTACCAGACGATGAAGACGAGCATCTCTTCTCCTTAGAGAAACTAGTAAAGGAACTCCTGGAAAAAGAACGAAGCCTAAACTGCCTATAGAAGAACTTCTTTCGGCGGTATTGCTTCGTCTTCAGAGGAATGGTTTCGTTGCACAGTGGGTATATGACTTGGAGGCGTATTGCTCTGTACTCTGCTATCTTATTTATTTAATATTGCATTCAAAAGAGTAGTTAGTCATTAAAACGTACTGTTTTAAAAAACATTCTTTTGGGAATCTATAGAAAGGGCAGCAGGGGAAGCGTTTTAGGTTTGAATTTGGTATATTGGTAGTTTACCCAAAGATTACATCTTTCTTTATAAAAATCACCAGGGAACCACTTAAGCCTCTCCGTTACTTCAGGTTTAAAAAAAAAAATCTTCACAGTATTTTTTCTGATCAAAATCTGCATTCACTTACAACTCCCGAGTCATTGAAGTGATGGTTCTTTCCAATTCAAGACCACCAGCGTGGAGCTCAGTGCAGCAGAAGAGAGAGATGTGAAGTACTTGTTGTAAATGGCATAGTAAATGTGTGGTAGAACACTTCCATCAGTGTTCACGGAAATTAAGTGATTCTACTGCATCAGTGACCTCATCCCGTAGATCCTAGCTTGTCCTTGGTCACAGAGGATAAAGTGTTTCAGTGGTAGGAAAATAGTCTTTGCCCTTGGCTCAGTATGTCATGCCCCTGAAAAGCACAGCACAGGGTACTCTGACATCAACAAGCCATACTGTATCAGTGCCTTATTTTATTTTTCAAGGTTAATATCAAGAATAAGTCTAAATTATTGAAATCAGCCGAGAGTATGACTTGAGCCACAGTGCAGCAAGAACGCTCAGAAACTCAGCTCTGATATCTGCCTTTAGATGTTGGTGCAATTCCACGTCTTAAAAATTCACCAGTCTCTGAGGATGCAGTTTAAGTCAGCAATTTTCAAGCAGCGTTTCAGGGATTTGAAACAAAAGGCCATTAAGAAAGGAACCCCCTTTTCAGCCAACAGACACGCGTTGTATGGGCTGCCAGTCAGCCAAGGTTGGAAAGCCACCAGCTGAGGCCAGTAGCCTTACTTTATGCAAAACAGAGATAAATGGAGCTTCCGTCCCCACAACGACTTGTCTCCCTTCTCAAAATCTTAAGTTATTTTTGTGATTTTTATCAAAACGTATTTTTGTACGTTAACAAACTACCACGTAGCATCTGGTCTTTTCATACAGGGAATGCATATGTTTAGTAATAGTTCAGAAGTCTATATATTTTGCATTGGTACTTGCAAAAAACATCTGTTTCTATTATACAAGTTGTGCATTTTCTTTCTTTGCATTGTCCTGTTTTATATTTGTAATTCCTCAAAAACGCTAAGGTTATCAGAATAACAAGCTGCTATTATTCTCTTGGCCACCTACAAAAATCAAAAAGAGCATTTGAAAAGGCACCTAGACAAGTAGGATATTACATTTCAAACCTAAATTCTAGATAATTAGACCATGTGAGATATGTAGCCGAGAAAGCTGTATTTTTTAAATACCAGATTACAAATTCAGTGTGCTTCTGGCATCTCTCACACATACACACATTGGTGGGGGAAAAAAAAGCAAATTACTTTTTAGAATCTGCTGTTTAATGGTTGAATGCTGCTATTTTAAAAGGAGATAATAGGGTCTCACTTGATGGACGACTCTAACCTGCAGAAGCAAACCTTCTGATCATATCAGTATTAGAATCGTAAGCAGCGAGGCCCCATTCTTCCATTAGGACTTGAGTTACTTGCAAACTCTTATGGGGGTCTTGATTCTCCACTGCACTGTGCTGGTTTGGGATTGATATGACTAATGCACCTGTAGGGCAGGACAGAAGGGTGGTCAGGACATCCAGGTGTCTGTCCGTAATGGCAGTCATTCAGCTGCCTGACAATGTAATGACACCAACATCTGAGTGACTTGGCACACCAAAGACTGACAGTGACAGCCAACACCCACATCAGCACCGATGAACACATGCCATTAACACATGCATTTATTCCCCTTTGACTTAAAGAACAAGTCTTAAGTGTTAGGGGATACTCAGCTGTTCCTAAAAATGTTAGGTGTGATTTAGTTCATGAATACGTAAGCGTTCCTCCTTCAGCAAAACAAAACCCACTTCTTTTCTTGTGCTTGCCTTGGATACAGACAAGCTGTAGTAAAGTTCAAACACGTGGAATGGCATGTCCACTTGATGCATTTTGTAATTCTTTCCTCCAGAGCTTACCTGTGTTCCTCAAAACAGGGCAAGGGATGCATACGCTCGCTAATGATCCAAAAACAATGGTGATGATTCTCTCTTTGAAACTACATTTAAGTACTGTGTTGGGGCATTGTGGTTATGTATGGCTCTACACTTTGTATCTTTAATTATATTCAAAACATTGTTGGTTCATTTGCTTTCCAGATTCATAAAATTTGCAATAATATCTGTAATGATACATTCCTGTTTGTGCATACAACTTCAATACAATAAAATGCATCACCTTTATTAATGGTGTTGGAGATAGAAACTTCCAGTAATGTTATATTTAAGAGGTATCCAGTAAGAGGATGGACACCACTGTGCATCTTAATAGCATCTCGTTATACAATGCTGTTAGATACAATGATGAAAAGTGATGTGCACTAGCTACCACTATGCAGTAATAAATGATGCCAACGTAAGCAATTAATTAAAGCACTGGAAGCACATCCAAGCCACCCTCCCGACAGCTTCAGTCACCAGCAAAAGCCTGGTATGCTTTCAGATCTGTTACCCACCACAAAATTAATACACGCTTTTTGTATGCCACATGCTTATTTTTCTTCCCTCCATGATAGAACCAAATCTAAATTTGTGACAAAAGGATAAAAGATGTTTGTTAGGGCTTAATATACAAACACACATGCAATAAGCCACCTCTAAACTCTTTCCCGCAGTGCAGACGTTTCAGCTGAACGCCAAGCTGCTGGTGTGCAGGGGGATGCTGGCTGTCCACACAAGCAGGCAGCAGCACAGCAAACCACCAGCATGGCACTGTATCCTGAATTTCTGCTGTGCAAGGATATGATTTGTGTAAGGTCAGAGAGAGACTGTTTCTCAAGTATTTAGCAGCCTTCTGCAGAAGCTTGACTTCACCCATACCCTCATTTCAATTGCCAGCTACAGCAGCTCTTACTATTCCAGCTTCATTCCTTCAGTATTCTTATGCTATGATCATTTCCTTGCTCCTCTGTCTTTTTCTTCCCTTCACTTCTTCCTCTCCTTTATCTCAACTACCTTGCCCGCATCCTTCTGGTCTTTTACAGCCTATGTCTTCTCTCCTGACACTGTGCTCACATTGTACGTGCATTTTAACTAGATGAATTATCTTCCCAGCCAAACTTTAGCACATGGTTAACAGGAAAAAATTATGTGCTTAAATAAATAGAATACAGTAGCACAGTTCAAAAGCCAGACCTGTGACCGCTGTTTAGTACAGACTTAGCTATCTCATCTTATTTCCATCTCGAAATTGTTCTTCCCATCAGGGCAAAAGTTAACCAAGGGCACACAAACCATTTATTTAAACAATTTGGGTTAACTCAGCTCACTTTACCAGTGTACACACAGATGTACATACATCCATCATGCTGTCGGCAAGTATGATAAGAATGGCCTGGAACAAACCACAAGAAACCAGAGCCCACACAGCAGCCAGAGCTTCCTTTTTGCATCACCCCCTTCCTGTGCCTTCACACTCCTCATACCAGCTGCCTATGGGGTCAATTCTCTCATTAAACATTTAAGAATTTATTAAGAATTGCTGTATGCTACCAGAACATTCCCATCATCCCCACATGATGTCCCTTCCCCAGCTGCAAGGCAGATGGTACACTGCTCCACATTTCTCCTTCCTCTAGCATCTCCCATTTTGTCCCAACCATGTCTCAACACTTTGGTCTTAACTGGAGATAAAAGCAAGCACTTGCCTCATTATATTTGCCTGAGCAGTAAAAAAAGGTTATTTCTTTAATCTTCCAAGTCTGGGTAATAGAAGATTTGTTGACACTACTCTAAAGACTTGGGGGGAAAAAAAGAAACAAGGATTCTGTGACACAACACTGCTATCCTATGCTCCTATGCTCCCAAGGCATGCTTTGCTGATGGGAGCAATGCACGGCGGCCAGCAGTGATGGCATTAACAAAAGGTGCACACTGCCCCGTGCAGAAGGTTTGTTGTGCTGTACCTGAAGCCTAAAGCCTTCTAGTACAAGGATCAACGCTTCAGTAGATTTCTGCAGTAGCAGATATTTGGGTGGAACTATCAGGTAACTGTTGGGTTCCAAGGGATGGAACGCCTCCCTGTGAGGACAGGCTGAGAGCTGGGCTGGGCAGCATGGAGAAGGGAAGGCTGTAGGAGACCTGAGAACAACCTTCAGTATCTGAAAGGGCTGTAAGAAGGAAGGGGACAGACTCTTTAGAGGGATTTGCGTGACAGGACTAGTGGAAATGGTTTATAACTAAAAGAGGGGAGATTTAGGCTGGATACAAGGAAGAAGTTTTTGACAATAAGGCACTGGCACAGGTTGCCCAGAGTGGTGGTGAGTGCCCCATCCTTGGAGACACTCAAGATCAGGCTGGATGAGGCTCTGAGCACTGATGGAGCTGTGGCTGTCCCTGTTCAGTGCAGGGGAGTGGGACTAGATGGTCTTTAAGAGTTCCTCTCAACTTCAATGACTCTATGATTCTAGTACGAGTAACCGTGAGGTGGAAATAAATGGCAATGGGTCTTTGTTCACACCAAAACAATCAAGAAGAAATTCTTATAAGAGAAAGATATGAATTGCAGCCATTCCAGGCTTAATTATAATCCTCTACAAAATGTCTGCCTTCCAGTTTCCAGGCTTATTCTATGTGCACAGCAGTGCTGACCACTCTGTCACAACACACCAGGATGGCTCCTTTCTGGCACCTGGGTGAGAGGAGCTGCAGCAGAAGCGGAGATGTTGAGAATCATAGAACCATAAAAGTGGAGAAGACACTGAGATCATTCAGTGCAGCCCCAGCACAGCGTGCCCACGTCCCGCAGTGCCACATCCCTGTGGCTCTGGGACACCTCCAATGAGCCCAGCACTCCGTGGGCAGCTGTGTCAATGCAGAATC